CAGATCCTACTCATTCTCCATGTCTCAGGTTCAACATCATTTCCTCCTGAAGCCAGGTGCTGCCCTGCTGTGTTAGGTCCCTTTGCGTAGCCCGTGCCCCAGCATGTGCTCCTGTCCTGTTTCCCAGCACTGAGTACACTCCTGACCCCTCTTCACTGCCTGTCTCTTACTGGATGGTGCTCTCCATGGAGTCAAACACTGTTGCCTGCCTTGTTCACTGCTGTTTGCTCTGCCCGGGCACAGACCTTTCCTTGCACATAGTAAGTGCTGAATAAATTTTTGAATGAAGGGGAAAAAAGGAAGTGAGAGAGAGAAATTTGCATCCTGTGTTCCTGGAACGTGCTATCAGGGGACACAGACAAAAAATAGATTGTTATAATATATTATGATAATGACTAAGGGAAGCTCAGGACATGGTGGCAGCCCAAATAAGAACTCACAGCCTTCTTAGCTAGGATTTGTGTTTTTGCGTTTTGCTTTTTAGCTAAGCTTTGACATACAAATAGAAATATGTTTCTTGGGGAAAGTGTGCCTTGCTGAGGGAACATGTACTTGTGCAGAGGCATGGAGATATGTGAAAGCAGCTTAGCAGGCCCAGGCTGGGCCGTGGTCAGGACTGGGGAGGGGACTAGTGGGGGATGAGCCTGGAAGGGAAGGCAGAGCTGAGGACTTCCTGACCAGCAGCTCAGCCCATCCTGGATCCAGACCATGTGGACAGAGTCCCAGACCTGTCCTGCTTTGATTAGGTCTGTGACCTTAGGAGAGCTTGAGCCTGAGCCAGATCACCCCAGAATGGCTACAGGTTCCACCCCATAGGCCTGTTCTGCTTAGGTGACCCTGCAAGGGTCTCTCTAAACTCAGCTGGTCTCAGAATGTTGAGGGGGCAGTTAGGATGGTGAAAGGGAAGAGGCATGAACTTTGGAGTCAGGGCCTCTGGGTCAGAGTCCCAGCTCTGCCTCTTAGTAGTTGTAAGACCTTGAATCTTTCTTTACCTTTTAACCCATTTCCTCATCTGTAAAATGAGATAATAAGAGTTATGAGAATTAAATGTGAAAAGTGATTTATAAACGGTTCTACACACATATTAGGATCCAGACCCAGTGTTTCTAAAACACTGTAAGGGGTTAAAAGGAACTTTTGAAACAAACCAAAAAAAAGTATAAATTGTTTTACTGATTTATTATCCTTGGTCTTCGTTTCCTAGTTGGTAAAGTACAGGGCCCAGTCCCCGTTGCTTAGTTCAGGTCAGTTTCCTGTTATAATGGCAAATATTACCACCCAGCAGGGGTTGTGAATGAGGTCCCTGTCACAAAGCACATGGCCTTGTTCCTTAATTGCCAGGGTGGAATTAATTTGCTCTTCCTGTTTCTCTTGTGACAGGAAGTAGATGTCCTTGAATTTCAGTTGATTAATGGAGGCCTCTGAGCAGAGTGCTCCAGCCTCTCTTGCTTTTAATCCTTATGCAATGCAAGGCCCTAATTTGATAATTTTGCTGTTTTTTAGATGGATCACCTACTGGTTGAAAATATCGAGCGGGAAACGTTTCATCTCTGCTCCCGCCTCATTAATCGGCCGTACAGGCGGACGGTGAGAGCCCTGGTCTTCACATTAAAGCACCGAGCTGAAATCCGGGCTCAGGTGAAGAACGGCTCGCTGCCGGTCGGCACATTTGTACAGACCTACAAAAAATGACCTGAAGATGGTTCCAACCCTGGGCTGGGCAGAAAGGAAAATGTGCCCCTCACTGCCATTCAAAGACTCTTTTGAGTTTGGTGATAGCTGATGCTGGCTGTGCTAAATTTTCCCATGGTGCTGTTCCTTCAGACAGAGGCTGCAGAGAGCCCTGGGAGACAGGCCTGCAGGAAATGCTTCATTAGCTGTAGCGCGTTGATGCTGCCTAACAGGACATGTGCTGGCTGTCACTAGGAAGCGCTGCTGTACGGTTGCCATCACCCAACATGGCAAAAAGGTGACGGATTTCGCTGCGAGTATGCCAAGGACACCTCTAAATTTCCCCCATGTCAGGCAGATGAAGTTACTACTTTATTTCGCCACCCTGCAGGTAACAGAAACTCAATTACTGCTGCCGCTCACTCGGTGCCATCCCCCTGAGTTTAGATAGCTCTGGTGCCTCTCAGAACTCCCCTNTATCTTCTCTCAGGTATAGCCAATCTGTCCAGGATTGGACAACTGAATAACTCACAGGTACAAGTAGATAAGAAAAGCAAATCAGATTCTCCGTTTCTGAGAAATGTGAGCTAGGAAATCCTAAGAACACAACAGTGAGAGTGTTGAGACAGAAGGCATGTTTGAGGAGTTATGAGGAAGCAGAAACTGTGGGTACAGATGTGGAGAATATGGGGAGAGAATAAGGCATTTAGAGTTGGTAGTGAGTAAGGCAAATGGAGAAGCAAAAACCTGTGAAGAAGAGACCAGGCAGATCATGAAGGGCACAGAGAAGGGATATGGTCCCTAAATAAATCCCTAGGCTTCTTAGAGCATTCCTATCCCCATTCCCATTCCTACAGATGCATCTTACAGCAAAACCCCATTTTTTCAAGGTCTCGGTAAGACTCTGGTCCTTTCACCCAAAACAGCTTACCTCAATCTCCAGGGTAGGACCCATTGGAAAGAACTCAACATCTTGGGTAGGCTTGGATTATGCAAAGGCAGTTGTAAGATAGGCACTCTTCACTTTGCACAGTGAACTTGGCATGCACAAGGGTACAGGATGAATCATTTTCCCTTATAATTTACATTTTAATGTCACTGATGTTTTTCTTCATTCTGATTGGCCTTCATTTAATAAGAGGCATGCATGAGAATCATTAGATGCCTGCTCCCTATTCCGATCACGTTGCTGGTAGAGCACCTGTTCCACTACCCCATGGTTGTCTGTGTACGTGCCATTTCCTTTCTACGCTGTGAGTTCCTGGAGGGCAGTGGTCAGGTCTTCTCTGCTCAGTGTCCCCAGTACCCAGATTAGGCCACACTCAGAGTAGCAACTCAGTAACTATTTGCTGAATGAAGTATGTATGACTATTCAGTTATGTGAATTCGAAGGCATTCTTAGAGGGATATGTGTGTGTGTGTGTGTGTATATATATATATATATATATATTACAATTTGATGGAATGGTCATGGTTTGCCAATGCACATATACCCTTCTTCTGCTAACAACTACTCCCCTCAAAAAAATCCCAAAAGACTTTTTTCGTGACTGTTAAACTAAGTGAATCTCTGAACAGTCAGTGACTAACCATCTTCGCACTGGAGTGAGCAGCCTCTCTGGCAAATGTGGCTGGGCAAATGCTGGACAGACAGATAGCCACCCTTCCAGCCTTCTGAAGTAATCTGCTACCAGGGTTGCCTCAGGCCAGGGGCTAGGTCAGTGCCCACCCAGGAGAGCATGAAAAG